ACAGATGAGTGTCAGAGACAAGTTGGTGACAGGGAGAAAAATGGAGGGAGCTTGAGCAGCACAGTGAGCAGGCAGACAATAGAGGAGCTGGTGAGCAGGCATCACCAAAGGAGAGCATGACACAGTGTGCCCAAGATCACTGTGACAGAAGATGCTTTATGACAAAGAAATGTATGTAGCAGGGGGAGGGAGCAAGAAGAATAATAGAGATAAAATATGATCAAAGTGCATTATATATATGTATGAAAATGTCATAATAAAATCCCTTACTCTGAACAATTAATGTAGTGTGTGTATATATAATTTTTCTTTTTACATTTTTTTAACTATCAACTAAGCTGGGTACCTGTCACTCACACCTGTAATCCTAACTGCTGAAGAGGCTGAGATCTGAGGACTGTGGTTTGAAGCCAGCTCAGGCAGAAAAGTCTGTGAGACTCTTATCTACAATTAATCACAAAAAGCCAGATGTGGAGCTGTGGCTCAAGAGGTAGAGCACAAAAGCAAAGGGACAGAGCCCGGGCCCAGAGTTCAAGTCCCAGGGCCAGCAAACAACAACAACAACAAAAATCAACTGAAGTGAGATAAAACTAATAGCTGGAAAATGGGTTAAGAATATACTAAACTGCTGGGTATGGTGGTACCCACCTGTAATCCCAGCTACTCAGAGGTGATAACTGAGAAGATCTCACTTCCAGACAAACTTTGACAGAAAGTTTGCAAGAACCCATCTCAAAAACAAGCCAAGGTTGTGATGGCTCATCCCTGTAATTCTATCTACTAGGAAGTTGAGACCTGAAGGACAGTGATTCAAAACCATCTTAGACAGAAACCCCATCTGTGAGGCCTCATCTTTAATTATCCAGCAAAATGCTAGACTGGCAGGGCACTGGTGGCTCACGCCTTTAATTCTAGCTACTCAGGAGAGACTAAGATCTGAGGATCATGGTTCAAAGCCAGCCTGGGCAGGAAAGTCCATGAGACACTTACCTCCAATTAGCTGCCAGAAAACCAGAGGTGGTGGTGTGATTCAAACTGGTAGAGCACTAGCCTTGAGCTGAACAGCTCAGGGACAGTGCCCAGGCCCAGAGTTCAAGCCCCACAACTGACCAAAAAAAAAAATCCAAGCATTTGTGGTTTATAATCCCATCCCCACAGGAAGTGTAGAAGGATCAGGGTTGGCCCTGGAAAAAAAGATCTATCTGAAAAAAAAAACTTAAGCAAGGACTGAGGAAATGGCTCAAGTGGTATAGCACCTGCTTAGCAAGCAAATGCCTGAACTTTAAGCTCTAGTACCAACAAAAAAAGAAATATGGCCAGGCGCCATTGGCTCACTCCTGTAATCCTAGCTACTCAGGGGGCTGAGACCTGAGGATCACAGTTCAAAGCCAGCCCTGGCAAGAAAGTCTGTAAGACTCTTATCTCCAATTAACCACCAAAAAACAAGAAGTGGTGCTGTGGCTCAAGTGGTAGAGCACTCACCTTGAGCTGAAGAGCTCAGGAAAGTACCCAGACCCAGAGTTCAAGCCCAAGACACCCCCCCCCAAAAAAAATAAAAGAAATATGTACTGATGTCTGCACTTTGGGGCATTTTCAAAAATTATGAAAACTGGTAACTTTAAATTTTCTTTTTTTGTCGGTCGTAGGGCTTGAATTTTCAAAAACTAAAATGTTTACAGAAATGAGTATACTTTTTCTGTCATTGATATTGATATCCTCTCTATTTTGAGAATGTCCATGTTTTTGAGAGACAATCAAATGGTAGGGTTACAATTGTACAACTGAAAATTTTGTTTTATAGTACTGAGTATTGAACTCAGGGCCTCACACACACACTAGGCAAAGAGTTCTACCACAAGCTATACCCTGGGTCCTTTTATTTTAAAAAATAAGATCTTACAACTCTTGACCTAGGCTGGCCTCAAACCTGCAAATCTGATGCAACCTCCCAAATAGTTGGTATTTCAGGCATGGGCCACCACACTTGTCTTGTAGATTTTTTGTGTGTGCCTTAATTTGAAAAGGCTTTCTGAAACTTTCTATTGAAAAATACATGTTTTACTATGATTTAGACCATTCATTAAAATGTGATTAAATATTAAAATGAAAGCCTAAGCTATTACAATTATTAGCAATAATTCAAATATAATAATATCAAGAATGTATGTTCGTAATAAGATTGACCTATTATAAAATACAAAAAATAATAAATCTGGAGATCTCTTTATTTTGTGCCAGTACTGGGACTTGAATTCAGGGCCTGGCAGATGTCCTTCAGCTTTTTCACTCTAAGTGTGAGCCACTGGTGCCTGGCTAAAGATTTTGTAAAAGACCAAAAAAAGGCTAGAATTGGTTACTCACACCTGTAATACTAGCTACTCAAGAGACTGGGAGTTAAAGTTCAAAGACAGCCTGGGCAGTAAAAGTCCATGAGACATCTCCAGTGAATCACCAAAAAAATCTGGAAGTAGAGTTGTGGCTTAAGCAGTAGAATACCAGGAATAAACAAAAAAGCTAAGGGAGAGTACCCAAGCTCTGAGTTCAAGCCCCAGTACTGGCATATACACATACATACACATGCAGACAAATAGGCATACACATGCACAAAGACAAAAAAGATATCGTGTGCCAAACATATGTAAGCCAGTTTCAGAGTTCTTTTCAGCACTTACACAGCAGCAACAGATAGAGAAAGGGACAAAAAGGAAGGGGAAAAAGAGAAACAGATTAAATAACTAGCATTGTATCTAGGACCAAAGCTGTAAACAGGAGATAGTTTGTGTGAGGGGAATATATGTGGAATGGGGGGCATGTGGGAGGATTAGTGAGGACAGGAGAGACAGAAATATTAGGTGGGGGGCTGGGATTGTGGCTTAGTGGTAGAGTGCTTGCCTAGCATGCATGAGGCCCTGGTTTCAATTCCTTAGTGCCACATAAATAGAAAAAGCCTGAAGTGGCGCTGTGGCTCAAGTGGTAGAGCGCTAGCCTTGAACACAGAGGGGCTCAGAACAGAGCCCAGGCCCTGAGTTGAAGCCCCAGGACCAGGGAAGTAAAGAAATGTTAGGAGGAAAAAGAAAGCAATTGTAATAGCTGAGGGGGTCATGAGATAAGTCCTGAAATGAATTGTGAGAGAAGACATGATTGGAGGAGGAGTGATAGCTGTAGGTAGTGGAAGACAGGGATTGTTTAAGAATGCTCAGGCAAGAAGCTTTGGGAGCAAGCAAAATGTCTCAGAGTAAGAAACAGTTCTAAGGGAACAAACAGTGCAGACAGAGAGCCCTCCCCCTGATGTGCTTAGGGAAAGGAGAAGGGCTAAAGATCCTAGCTACTCAGGAGGCTGAGATCTGAGGATCGCGGTTCAAAGCCAGCCGGGGCAAGAGAGACCGTGAGACTCCTATCTCCAATAAACCATCAGAAAACCGGAAGTGGTGCTGTAGCTCAAGTGGTAGAGCGCTCGCCTTGAGCTGAAGAGCTGAGGGACAGCGCCCAGGCCCAGAGTTCAAGCCCCACGACCGACAAAAAAAAAAAAAAAAGATCCATTTTCCAAATGAAAACTTAAGGCTCAAAATAGTTAAGAGAAACTTGCTTTTGGTAACCAAGCTAGTTAACTGCTTGTAATTTCTGTTTTTATCTTGTTTTGTTTTTGTTTTTTAAGTGCTGTGGATCTAACCCACAGCTCTTTCATGCTGGGCTAGTGCTCTACTACTGAACTATACTCCCAACCAGTCATCTGAAGTTAAAATGACCCAACTTCAGTTGGGGATATGGCTCAATGGTAGAGTATTTAGCAGTACATGCATGATGATCTAGGCTGTAATCCCCAGACCTGTAAAAAATAAAGTAACACGATCCAACTCTAATAGTCAGTACTCTAGTAACATACATAGACTGTCTTAAGATATCATGGGACTTGTTTACTTGGTACAGTTTTAGTTTTGCAAAATAAAAGCTTGGAGTGTGCCTCTATTATATGAAAAATATTTATTGAAATGAATTCTAAAAAGCAGAAACAATAAGGTTTTTGTTTTGCTGATCCTGGGGCTTGAACTCAGAGCCTGAGCACTGTCCCTAAAAGATAGTGCTCTACCTCTAGAGCCAAAGAGCCACTACTGGCTTTTTCTGAATAGTTTATTGGAGTCTCATGGACTTTCCTGCCCTGGCCAGCTTTGAACCGTGATCTTCAAATCTCAGCCTCCTTAGAAGCTAGGATTACAGGGGCTGGGAAGGTGGCTCAGTGGTAGAGTGCTTGCCTTGCATGCATGAGGCCCTGGGTTCGAGTCTCCACCACCACATAAGCAAAAAGGAAAAAACCGGAAGTGGTGCTGTGGCTCAAGTGGTAGAGCGCTAGCCTTGAGCACAGAGAGGTTTAAGGACAGTGCTCAGGCCCTGAGTTCAAGCCCCAGTACTCGCAAAAAAATAAAATAATAAAAATGAAGATGGTTAATTTGATGTTATGTGTATTTTACAATAAAAAAAAATCCGTACATACCCTAGATTTCACTCAGCAATTAGGTGAATGCTTATGCATTTTAACACATCGTTCAAATGTTTCCGGTGGTGAGATCTTCCTTTGCTCAGTGATCCTTCTATTTAGATGCTCACTCTCATCTTTATACTAACGCTCAGCCCAGCATATGAATCAATTTAAAGTACTCATGAAACAATACAGCAGATCGGTTCCCACTACCAGACCAATTTGGGGGCCCTGTTATTTGTCTCTGTATACATTAGGTTTGGGGCTTGTTAGGGTAGGAAGATTCAGAAAGGGCTTAAGCAGTTGAAGTGCTGACTCTGTAGGAGATAATGCTGGAGCTCATGCACCCCCTCTGGCCAAAAAGTAGGTGTGCCAGGGATTCCCAGGAAAGAAATACGGTCAGTGCTTGGAGTCGATTCTCATGCCCTACTCGGAAAGGGCCGAGAAGCGTCCCACAAGGCTCCACCACCTCCTCCGCGCAATCCAAGGCCCTGCTAGTTATACCTGCCCGGTAGCCCAAACTAACCTCAGATAATGGGCAGCCTGTATTGAGCTTAAATTCTGGATTTCCGCCGAACTTGTGGACGCCTCCATCATCAAGCTTGGTTTTCAGGAATCAGAGCTGTAGCTTGAATTTCGCTCGTTAACATCCGACGCATGCTCTGTTCTCTCGCATAGCGGCAGGGCCAACCCTCTGCCGCCAGACCAACCAATCCGCAGGCCCGCGCTTCAGCGCCGACGTCATAGCTCCACCCGTTCTGCGCCTGCGCGTATGCGCGCGGGAACCTAGAGTTTGAAGCGGTCAATGCAGCACAGCGCGGTGAGGCGCCTAGTGGACTGCGTCATTGGATTTTCAATATGGTCGGAACCAATATACGGGGCACAGGCGGGTGGGGGGGGGGGGGGGAGAGGGGCCGGGGAGTGCGCATGTGCCTGCACGCACGCGCGCGCACACGTACGCACGCACACACGCACGCACGCACGCACGCACGCACACGTTATTCTTAGAGTGGCGGAGGACCGCTATAGCTGCTTTCAACGACTCCGGTACTTCCTGGCTCTGAGCACACTTTGAATCCAGATGCCTTGAGAGTTGAGGTCTCTGTGATCTAAACACATTGATAGAGGTCACCAAAGCTGTCATTTAAGAAATAGCCTGGCACTAGTGGCTCACGCCTGCCATCCTAGCTACTCAGGAGGCTGAGATCTGAGGATCGCGGTTCAAAGCCAGCCCAGGCAGGAAAGTCCCTGAGACTCTTCTCTCCAATAAACCACCAGAAAACCAGAAGTGACGCTGTGGCTCAAGTCGTATAGGTTTGCCTTGAGCTGAAGAACAGCGCCCAGGCCCAGAATTCAAGCCCCATGACCGACAAGGAAGGAAGGAAGGAAGGGAGGGAGGGAGGAAGGGAGGGACGGAAGGAAGGAAGGAAGGAAGGGAACAGGCAGGAAGTGGAGCTGTAGCTCAAGTAGTAGAGCACTAGCTTTGTGAACAAATGTTCAGGGACAGCACCTAGGACCAATTAAACACCAAAAAGCCACAAGTGGAACTGTGGCTCAAATGATAGAGCACTAGCCTTGAGCCCCTAAAGACTGACCCCCTCCCTGTTTTCCCGATGCATACAAATGTCAGGCAAGCCACCAAAGATATGTACAGACTGCCTGACACAGGCAGAGCAATCTACCTAAGCCTGACTGCAAACATTCTATTGTGGGTTCAACTGAAAAGCCCCGGACCTCCCTATACCTAATGGCTTCTTTATTAACCTCTGCCTCCTTGCTCAGACCTCATAAAAACCCAACTCCTGACCCACCTCTTGACACAATCTCCAAGCCCACAGGAAGCTTTGTCCTCACTGTTATATCTCAATAAACACTCCTTGCCTGTGGAAGATGGCCTGTTTCCTTTTTCCTCCATTTTTCTAACAAACACAAAAACTCAGGTCCTAGGACTAGCACATAAACAAACAAACCCTCTGTTAAGAGAACATTTGGTAGGGGTGTTTAAGTTGTGTGTGTGTGTGAGTCCTGTGGTTTAAAATTGATGTGGTAGGAAGTGGCGCTGTGGCTCAAGCGGTAGAGAGCTCACCTTGAGCTAAAGAGCACAAGGACAGCGCCCAAGCCCAGAGTTCAAGCCCCACAACCAACAAAACAAAAAAACAAAAACAAAATAAAATTGATGTGGTAGCAGTAAGCATGGGACCTTTTGGGAATGCCTTTTGTTAGGAAGGCTCCATTCTTATGAAAGACTCCAAGCCTTATAAAAAGTTTCAAGATCATTGGTTTAGCCCTTATTTGTTCTTGTACCATTTAAGGACACAACATTCCTTCCCCTGCTGAGAAGGAGATTCTACAAAGAGGCACCATCTTAGGAGAGAGGCCCTCAGCAAACACCAGTCTTACCAGCCCCTTATCTTGGACTTCTCAGCCCCTAAAGCCGTAAGAAATAAATTTCTAGTCAAGTGCTGCCAATGGCTCATGCCTGTAATACTAGCTACTCAGGAGGCTGAGATCTGAGGATCCTAGTTTGAGGCTAGCCTGAACAGGAAAGTCCCTGAGACTCCTAGCTACAATTAACCACCAAAAAGCAAGAAATAGATCTGTGGTTCAAGTGGTAGAGTGCCAACTTTGAGAGAAAAAGCTAAAGGACAGCACTCAGGCCTTGAATTCAAGGCCCCATACTGGCACCAAAAAAAAAAAAGAAAGAAAAAAGGATAAAATGTATATTGTTTACAAATTATTCCATCTGTGATAGCAGCAAAAATGGACTAAGACAGGGCAAGTTGAGTGCCCAGATACCCTGACAACCCAAAAGATAAGTAGGAGTAGAGAATAAGGGAAATTTCTATAGAAAGCAAAAGAGGGATAGAAGCACAAAAACTTCATTTGACTAACAAGGTAGTTGGTAATTCACACCTGTAATTGCAGTATTCAAGGGGCTTTAGCAGGAGAGTAAAGAATTCAAGGACAATTGAGGCTACATAACAAGACCATGGTTCAAAAGAAAAAACTTGAGGTTGGTGTTAGATACCTAGTTTGAGTCCCAGTCTTGAAATGAGAGAGAGAGAGGGAGAGAGAGAGAGAGAGAGAGAGAGAGAGAGAGAGGGGGGGGGAGAGAGAGGGAGAGAGGGGAGAGAAAGAGAGGAGGGGGAGAAGCTTCATCTGGAATCTAAGGAAGTCATTTCTAATTGTGCTTTGGCTTGAGGTCTGCCATCATCACTTAAATACTTGGAGAGCCAAGTGCTGGGGACTCACACCTGTAATCCTAGCTACTAAAGAGGCTGAAAATTGAGAATCACAGCTTGAAGCCAGCTGGGGCAGACAAATCCATGACAATATTATCTTCAATTAACCAGAAAAAAGATATAAGTGGAGATGTGGCTCAAGTGGTAGAGCACCAGACTTGAGTGAAAAAAGGCAATGGAAAGTGTGAGGTCCTTAGTTCAAGCCTCGATATGTGCACAAAAATACATACATACACCAGGAGCTGGTGGCTCACACCTGTAATTCTAGCTACTCAGGCAACTGAGTTCTAAGAAGCTCTGCTTAAAGCCAGCCCCATCAGGAAAGCCTGTGAGACTCAGATCTAAAAACTGTGGCTCAAGGACTGGTAAAGTAGCTTAGTAGTAGAGTGCTTGCCTCACATGCATGAAGCCCTGGGTTCGATTCCTCAGTACCACATAAACAGAAAAGGCCAGAAGTAGTGCTGTGGCTCAAGTGGTAGAGCGCTAGCCTTGAGCAAAAGAAGCTCAGGGACAGTGTCCAGGACAAGAGTTCAAGCTCCAGGACTGTAAAAAGGAAACAAACAACAAAAAAACTGTGGCTCAAAGTGGTAGAGCGCTAGCCTTCAGCACAAAAAGATCAGGGACAGGACCCAGGTCGAATTTAAGCCCCGCAACTGACAAAAAAAAAAAAAAAAACTCATACAAAAGCCAGGAGCTGGTGACTCATGCCTGCAATCCTAGCTACTCAGGAGGCTGAGATCTGAGGATTGTGATTCAAAGCCAGCCCAAGCAGGAAAGTCTGTAGACTTTTATCTCCAGTTAACCACCAGAAAACCAGAAGTGGCACAGTGGCTCAAGTAGTAGAATGCTCACCTTGAGCTCAAGAACTCAGGGACAGTGCCCAAGCCCAGAGTTCAAGCCCCACCACCGACAGAAAAAAATGCATACAAACATATGTCCATACCCACACACCTATAGAACCCAGGCTGAAGCAATGCAGTTCTGGGTTTGCTGTTGTAGGCAGCTGACCCTCTATGAACTGTCATGAAAAGCTAGAGAGACTTCCACAGGAACCTGGTTACCCTTTCCCTATCTGCTTCCCTGCTGGCAGTGATCCCCAAAAGGCCCTGATCAATGGGAAGGAATATCTATCTTGCCAGTCTTTTTTTATTTTGATGGTCCTGGGGCTTGAACTAGAGCCTGGGTGCTGTCTCTAAACCCCTTTGTGCTCAAGGCTAGCATTGTACCACTTGAGCCACAGTACTTCTGGCTATTTTGAGTAACTTAATGGAGATAAGAGTCTCATGGACTTTTCTGCCAAGGCTGTCTTCAAACCATGATTCTTGGTCTGGGAATGTGGCTTAGTGGTAGAGTACCTGCCTAGCATTCATGAAGCTGTGGGTTGGATTCCTCAGTACTACATGAACAGAAAAAGCCGGAAATGGTGCTGTGGTTCAAGTGGTAGTGCACTAGCCTTGAGCTAAAGAAGCTCAGGGACAGTGCTCAGGCTCTGAGTTCAAGTCCCAGGACTGGCAAAAAAAAACAATAAAAAAAACCATGATTCTCAGATCTCAGCCTCCTGAGTAGCTAGGATTATAGGGGTGAACACTGATGCCTGGTTCCTTGCCTGTCTTTTGGCTTCTGGACTTTCTCAGAGTCATTGTCACACAGCTGTAGAGCTCTTCCCCATCCCCTAGGAACTGCAGTTACTGCTTTCTCTGTCTTTTTTGTCAGTCTTGGGGCTTGAAGTCAGAGCTTGGGTGTTGTCCCTAAGCTCTTTTGTTCAAGGCTAGCACTCTACCACTTGAGCCACTGTGCCACTTCCAGTTTTCTGGTGGTTAATTGGAGATAAGAGTCTCACACTTCCCTGCCCGGACTGTCTTCAAACTACAATCCTCAGACCTCAGCCTCCTGAGTAGCTATGATTATAGGTGTGAACCATTGGCTGCTAGTTGTTTTTTGGTTTTTGGGTTTGGGGTTTTTTTGGCGGTCGTGGGACTTGAACTCTGAGCCTGGGCGCTGTCCCTCAGCTCTTCAGCTCAAGGCTAGCACTCTACCACTTGAGCCACAGTACCATTTCCAGTTTTCTGGGTGGTTTATTGGAGATAAGAGTCTCACAGTCAGGGCTGGGAAGGTGGCTCAGTGGTAGAGCACTTGCCTTGCATGCCTGAGGCCCTGGGTTCAATTCCTCAGCATCACATAAGCAAAAAGCCGGAAGTGGTGCTGTGGCTCAAGTGGTAGAGCACTAGCCTTGAGCTGAAGAGCTAAGGGACAGCACCCAGGCCCAGAGTTCAGACCCCATGACCGGACCCCCCCCCTGCAAAAAAAAAGAGTCTCACGGTCTTTTATGCCTGGGCTGGCTTTGAACCCCAATCCTCAGATCTTAAACTCCTGAGTATCTAGGATTACAGGCGTAAGCCACCAGTGCCCAGCCTGGCTCCTAGTTTTAT